CATAGATCTATTTCCCCATCCTCATATAAATATATTTGCATATGTACATGTCTTTATCTAGACCTCTATAAATGCCCACTGCCTCCCAGCTCTTTCCTCTATAACTGGCTGATTTTCAGAAACAGTTGCCCAAGGGTTTATCCCCAGTCTGTCTTAGTCTGGAAACTCCACTGAACCCTGTTCCATTTCAGGGCAACGTGGCAGACGGACGGAGACAGGGCACGGGGTGCCGTGGCCAGTACTCCAGCGAGGTTCTCCATCACAGAAGGGGAACGCTCATGGACAGCCACTGCCTTCTTCTCTGCTTTAGGATTACCAAAATCTCTTTGAATTTGCAACCAGGGAGTAAACAATATTTCTCCATAATTAAAGCTGGGACATAGAAAAGGGATGTGGGGGGGAGGAGAGCCATACACGCCACACACATACTTTACAGGGTCATAAACCAGCTTCCAGGATCAGCGACTTTCCACGCTGTGCTTACATTGGCAGCAATAAATCTAGGCATTCCTAGCAAGGAACTAAACAGACATCCATGTATAACGAAGCGCGTGACAACATCATAATAGTTATGAAAGTTAGTCATGTCTTAGATATCAAGAAAAGATTGATCCAATCAATGGTGGGAAATACACGCCAACAAAATACATGCCTGCATTTAAAACCTGCTTTTATTTAGAAGAATATTAAATTACAGGAAGGCATTTGGCAGCAGTTTGGGGTTGGGGTGCTTTGAAAATAGAAGGAAAAGATCGTGGAGTTTTTTCTCCCACAAGCTTTTTGAAGCCCCCTCGTATCCTTACTAATATACGTGAAAAAGGAGGCTAAAACATCATTCTGTTCAAAAGTTCGATTTAAATATTTTGTAAAACATTTTTCTCTGCATACTATTATATCGCAGATGACGTCAGTAGGTGTGGTACGTGTCAGCCCACGTGGTTAACATAGGCCTGGACTATCAGTTTTCCACACACAACCTACTGATATCAAACCGGATCCTGCCTGTGCTGAGGACGAGCTGGCGAGGACAGGACTGGGATTTTACCTTGTGCCAGCCTTTTAAAGGCCACTTCCGCTTCTTCAGCATAAAGCCTTCATGCTTGTCGGGCTTCTGGACGTTGGTTTGACCTATTTTCAGCCCTTCTATGATTTCCCAGCTGTCTGCTTCCTAAGAGGAAAGAAGCAAAACAAGTTGCACATTTCCAGGTGCTGCAGAACAGACGGACAAACGCACAGGAGATGGAGGTAGCAGTCGCCTTTGAGCCAGCACTCGAACCACCGAACACAGGACCAGCATTCCAGGGCAAGCTCTCAAGGTCACACACACCTCGGTGCTTTTCACGGACTTGAAAATGAGCTTCCCAGGGAGACCTGCAGGGCAGCAGGGCCCACTCGAGACTCCAGCAGGTTGGAATGTCAATGACCTGTACTCAGCATGTTCCAAATGCATGCTTTCAGGCAGGTACTCGCTGGGCACCGCAGCACTTCTAGTTTCACAATCAGACTGTTATGAAGACATATGTCTAATGAATTGGGAAGCCCTGGATTTCTGCTTAGGAATGGAAAGGCTATCACAGGCCTAAAGAGGCTCGTGACCTATCAACACTGCAATGCCACGCTGCTTCCTCTCAGGGAGGGTGCCTGCCAAAATGCCCCCGGCTTCCCAGGCATCCTGAGACACACACACCCTGGGGCCTGCCAGGCCAAAACCTGGGGCTCCGGACGCCACACCATCACCCATCATGGTTCAAAACCATGATTACATTATGGGAATCTAGGTGTGATTTGCTCAATGAGTTACCAGCATCGAAAAAATCCGAAGATTTCAGACTTTGGCTCCCCAAAGCATTTGTGTTTTCTGAAAGCCTATCAAACCTGGCCTGCCCCAGGTGAAGGTGGTTGGTCTTCCGTTTGCCACAGTCCCCAACAGGACCCTATGACCTTCCTGACCCTTGGTGGCTTCCTGAGTTGTCACCCTAGGAGGTGATTTCCTGTAGGGCCCAAACACCTGCTTGTCCATCTTCCACGTCCTAGTCCTTGGACACGTCTATGGATATTCAGGAGCATGAAGAAGCCCTGGCAGCACTCTAGCAGAAAGTCCCCAAGGTAGGGACAGCGGTACCTCTCCACATCCTACAGCCCGCAGCTGCAGCCCTGCCCTCCGCACAAGGGGACAAAACCTATCAGGACAAACTAATCTGTTGCCTCAGCCTCCAAACGCTAGACGGGTGAGAGCAGACCTAGAAGGTCTTCTGAAAAGATATCTTCTCTCTGAAATTATCTCAGACCAGTGCTTCTCAACCTTCCTAATGCCTCCACCCTTTCATACAGTTCCTCATGTGGTGGTGACCCCCA